GGGCGCTGACGATGGCCCAGAGCATCATCATGATACCCTGAGATGTTAGTATTGGTTCACTTGTGAGTGGATGGGGAAGAGTGAGCTTACCATGTAGCGAGAGGGGCGGGTGCGGGTGAGGAACATGTTGGAGGGGATTTGGCCGAGGATGTAACCGACGAAGAGGATAGAGACACATGTCTGATACTCTGCAGATTGTTAGTCAAGAATTGTTGATGTGAAGGTAAAACTTACCAGTTCCCTTGAGGTTAAGATCCTCCTCGAGATCATTCAGACGCGCAAGGGCAATAGCATTGCGGTCAAGATAGTTGAGCCAGTACATACTCCAAAGCATGGGCTACAATCGTCAGCTCACTCATCTTCTTTCTATCAGTGATCAGTTACTCACCATCATCCATCGGTCAAGCTTCTTCACAAGAGCAATCTCCTTAGGATCAGTCTTCTCGTGAGCACCAGAGTAATCAATCTTGTCAACACGAGGGATTGCCTTCTCCGGATACTCATTCTGAAAGATCTGGGGCTCGACGTCCCTGATGTCGGTCTTTTCGTCACGCTGAGCCATGATGAAGCACAGTACAAGTCAAGCAGAAGTGTTTAAGATAGAGAAGTAGTTGGGTAGTCAAAGCGATCGACTGCCTTGATGAGAACAAAATAGTGGGCGCTCCACGGACAGTTATATAGACATTTCTTGACAGCGACAAAACCTGGGGATGCTACCGATCATCCCCCAAGTTCCCCATGGTCCTTGACCATCCCCCGCATTGCGGGGTGCAGAGTAGGAGTCGGCAAAGCCGTAGACCGTGACATTCGGAGGGCAGATCTGGGATGTAGAGATTAGGTTGGTCTAGACCGTGTGGAACCTCGCCAAGAAACTTGGGGTAGTACTCGTCTTGCGAAAACAGGGATGAACTGGCTGTCATGGTGTTGTGTGTCTTTGATCAACAGATGGTCTGCGCTTCTAGTCCACGAGCAGGTTTTATCACAGCGCTAGAAAACGGCGCCAAGATGAGTTAAACCGTTATAGAAACTAGTTCCAGCGTTTAACAGGTTGGATTTCCATACGAGAGCGTCAAGCTTTGGGATGTTCAGCTAGAGAGTGCTTCTTTTCTTCTAGAAGAATGGTCAACCTCAGTGGCGTTATCATCACGAGCCGTGTGTCTCATCATTGATTGGAGAATATCGTGTTGCACTGCCTACCTCCAAAACAGCCCTCCCATTAATGTACAACCAAGCTAGCCAGCTAACTTAGACGAGAACTCCAAGTCATTTCCCCACTGCGGGATTTCCAGAACTGTACGCCCGCAGCAACAAGGCCATACCATACCGAACAGGGAAGGAGATTAAGCTTAACGATTAAGGTTGCGGAGTAGACATGGGGTATAAAGCAGCAGGGATTGAGATGTGAGCACTGTTTCCCCCGCGTCATTACAGCTCACGATGGGAAGAGAGTAAGTTGTTAGATGATTATTTTTGTAATATATATAGTTTTGCATGATTCATTAGGTGCTGGCCAAGAGTGAGGGTAGTAGTTGTCTCCGCATGTTAAAGGGAGAGTTTGGCTTGGCTACTCCGCTAACTGACTAGGCTGCCTCAGTGCCTCCGCACCCTTTTGGCCAAGGAGAGGAGTCAGCTTGGCTTCTCTCCTCATCATTGGCATCACCTCCAAGAGATAAGGCTGTTGCAATTGAATCATCGATTGAACTGTTAATCTCCCCCAGTTTACGCTATCAAACCTACGCAATGACAATGATCCGACTACCTTAAGTACGGCGTGTGGGCAGGTCAATGCAACCGTAAGCCCATCTCGCAGCATCAACAGGGATGTGCTAGACATTGGGTCACGAATACCACCCTAATCCCTCGTACCAAACTCGCAGCTTGAACTTCGGAGCATTGCATCACAATATCATAGCGCCTGTATCAGAACCCCTTCTTGGCGAGTCCAGACCGTTCCGAAGATTCCCGCTCTAGTCCAATAACTAAAATGTGATATCTGCGGGGGATCTAGCGGTTCGGTGCCCGCATCTCACTGAGGGGGTTGGGGGCTGTTTACTCCGCGAACTGTGCACTAGCATTCCACTAACGATGCTCCGCCACAGCAATTATCCAGTGATATGCCGGTGAAATGATGCTAGGGTTAGTTTTAAGCTCGCTGATCTTGCAACCAAGTTGCTTTCTAGAAGAATTGCCGCTTCTTAATCGTGCATTCTAGTGATGCATGTGTTTAGCCCTATTCAGACGCACATTCCAGTAGCCGCCTGCACTATCGACTCGACGCCCGCTCAGTGTCAAATGATAGGCTCAAGACAGCCCGCCTTCCCGGATTCTTTTCGACAGGATCTCCCTCTAGGCGTGTTCTCGAAGGATTCACCGCTGGCGTCTTACAGATCTGCACCAGCTCCAAATGCGCTGTGACGTTGTTCCACTTTACGGTGTTGGTAGTCTGGGGTTTGGTCTTGGCTTTGGCTAAACATCAGCTATTTCAGCTAGAACGGGGAGTGGTTGCGTTTCCCCGCAAGGGTATCTCACTGTGATAACTGGGGACGATGAGCACAGACGGTTTACTAATGGTGTTTCTAAGCGAAGGCATCGGCGCAATTACTGGATTGGTTTGAGGATGTTGTTGGTTGAAGGTCGGATGCTTACGGGGGCTCGTATTCTTGGCACGTCATCCTTGAGACGAAACTCTGAGGCCCCAGGGTTGGAAGACGCAATGCGACCTTAGAGAAATGTACATTTCCGTTGATGGGTTACTGGAAGGTGTTTGGAATGCGCTTGGGTTCCTATTTCATCCGATGAGGCTCTGTAGTGAGATTCAGCGTCGTATGGCGTAGGTTTCGCTTGGCTTCTTGGGGAAAGAGTCTCGGAGGCTACTATTGGGATCCCGTCAGTGCTTGGGGGACTCGGCTCATGTGGTCCGGATGGGGTCGGAACCGAGGCCAAGAAGCAAGGGGAGATTGCGCCAACAATAATGCATGGTATCACTCTGACGTTGGGGAATCAAGGCTTGGCTTGAACTTGGGGAACCTCCCCATCCTACTCTTCCCGATGAAGGCTGATGAAGCTCATTCTGACTCAGATGATATGATAGGCTGGCCTCATTTCAGTCTTATCAAGCCTGTCCTGGATTCAGGCCAAGATAATAACACGGCTCAGTATTCCGATACTCGTGGTTGCCAAGCAAAAGCCTTGTCGGAAGTCATGGTGATGTAGAAACTCCAATGAACTATCAGGCAGATGGCAGAGCCAGAAGGCACCAAGAAACTAGCTTGGAAGCAGATTACTGACGGTTGACGGCGTTTGGGGGACAGAAAACGCGAGACTGGCCTCCACTAAAACCCAATAATCTACGATCAATCCGAGTCTCAAGTTTTGTGTCCCCTCCCTTGGGTCTGTAGCTCAACTGGAGACACTTCTCGTCTGAGGATGTACATCAATGGAGCAAAGGTATAGCGGTTGCATCCGAGATCGTCCACCGGTGGATAGACGTGGTATGCATTACCCCGTTCTCTCAGATCGTCTCCTAAATCAGGTTCTCCTTACTCAACTCTCATATTATAAATACAGCGACCTCTCGTGTCTAGGAGTCGGTCATTATCATCACTTGAGCAGCTCACATCATCTCAAGAAAGACCCTCTTCAATTCAACCATCTTTCAATACGAACCGCACAGTCTCGCTTGGTACCCAAATTCGAATGCAACTCGGGAGATTCTCCAGGGTCACTCAAGTGGCGCTGCCCAACGCAAGTTCCGTGTTCGTGACTACGAGCTGTCGAAGCAGTACATGTCACCCTCCATGTTATAGCACAATCAGAACTTGTATCCCATGCCAGCCACAAAGTCTTCCCTACCCTCACTGAGCTCGATGGTAGGCCGGAGCGCCCGTCAACATGTGATGGTGTTCACGATGGTGTTCAGGGGCTACCAATCGTTTAGCTGTGGAATCCTTTACCGCCACTAACGATCAGTTTCCACGACAGAAGCCCAAAGCCAGTTTTACATCTATCCTTCTTGGGTTTTGGCTTTTGCGTGCAAAAGCCAGTCTCCTTGGATGGTCGCCGGAGATACGTCAAGTCACAATGGCCAAGGGTTCATTGTCGAAATGCCCTTTAACGACATCAATGATGTCCTGAGGACGCTCTCGCCATGTTGCTAAGAGGTACTGGTGCTGTAGCTCGCGTTTGACCCTTGCTCAGTGGCTTGTGGCCATCCTAGATGCAGACTGGGTTCTAGTGGTCGCACAATCCTTCGCCATTCCCAAGGCGTAGCTTTCACCATACAGAAGCCTGTATCCAGTAATGCAGCTATCTTTCATAGTGGCCAGTCCCTTCATTTCTGAAGGCAGTCTTCCTGAATGGTAGTGTGCGTTTCGTCAAGTCATAATGACGAAGGGCTTCGTGGCGAGCACCTTCGACGACATCAATGATGGGCTGGAAATGCTCTCATCTCCTTTGGGAGTTGGCTAGCACACGCTGTACTGAAGTTCATTCTTCAACCTTGTTCAGTGGCTTGCTGCGATCCTGGATGCTCAGACCTTGTGACCGTAGGTGTCCAGCATCCCTCCATCGTAGAGAGCTAGATGTTAGGCCACTCGTGCTTATTGGACGTCAGAGATCTCTGCAGTGACTGAAACCTGGTTGCATGATGTGATCACCGTCTTAGTGCTAGTATTGTGGTGTTCCGTCACTTTCAGTGGTTGTTCTAGGCCTGTTCACCTGTTCAAGGGGGGCTAAATACGTCTAGTCCAGCTCGCGACGACCGCTGGCTCGTTCTGAAGATGCGTGAAGGTGTGAAAGAAGGTTCATCTCCCGTTCTCATTATCATATTCTCTTACTATCATGTATCTTTATTGTTACTGTCTTGATTGGGCGGCCATGAGGCCCACTGAACCGCTGCATCGAGATCACGGACTAAAGTAGGGAGGCAATTTCGTTGGCCACTCGACGCAATTTACTTCTCGTGTACCATCTTACTAATAGCATACCAAATGCTAGAGATACTAAGGGAATTGCTCTCGCACCATAGCAACTGCACTGATAAACTTGGTGCTCGATACAAAAGCACACCTATCCGGAGGAGCCACGCTTTTGGTGAGGTCCCCAAACCGTGAACTCGCCACGCCATATTGCCAAGCCAGTCCATCTTCCATCCTAAACAACGGCCCTCCTGATGCTCCGCTCTGGCAATCTGCATCCGTGATCAGCCGATCGCCGGGAATATCGCAGGAGTGATAACATTTCTCCACGGTGATTCCATCCTGCCGCATAGGCTTTGCTATATGATACAAAGAGTTGGTAGGATATCCCACGTGTGACTATCTCACGTCAGTGTCTATTCCTTTGTCTATTCCTTTGTTCTATCCTCTTGTACTTACAAAAGCTTTCTTGTTAATCAGTGTATTTGTGTTAGATTCTTTTACCCCGAGGTACCCGTGCGTCTCACCCATTCGATCCGCGAGAATCAAGATAGCCCAATCGTTACTGAGTGCGCAATCAAAAATCTCTTGTCCATTTTTGGGGTTTTTGTGACATTCTAGGCCGTCTACAGCGATGATGTCCGTCACGTACGAAATTCCTCCGCTCCGACCCTCGAAAAAGTTGGATTCGAATGTAACACTGTCGGCTAGTTTATCTCCGAAGCAATGCCTCGCTATCAAGACATGTCGTGGACCAACCAATGAGCCACTGCAAGTTCTCCCCTTGGCGTTCGCAAATGACTTTGCGCCCAGGAGGATCCTCCCGAGGGAATAGGCGGGGTATTGTGTGTTATTCCATTCGTACCTGTCGTCTTTTACAAAGTCTGGTATTTTGCCGATCACCTTAACAATGCCTGGAATGTCGCGCCGCGGAAGTGGTCGATGTGGAGGAACGGGTTTGCCGGCGAAGTTGTCGAGCTGGTGCCTTGGGACGAGGTGGATTCTTGGGATAGGGCCAGTTTGTGGGACAATACGTCGGTGAACTTGTACAGTTGACTTGTTTGCGGTGGTTGTTGTGGGAAGAGGGGGCGGAGGATGTGGGGGAACAGGTGGAGGAACGGGAGGCGGTGGTGGTGGTGGAGGAGGGTGATTGCGAGCCTGAAGTATGTTGTCGCCCAGGACAGGTGAAGCGAATACCTGGTTGCTGAGGGCCAAGATGGCGATGGTGATCAAGTTGAGGATCAACATCCTGTAGCGAATGTCTTCGGAAAGAGGGGGTCTTTCTGTGGCGCCTTTTGATCAGCGAGTACACGCATATTTATTCCCTTCATAATTAAGTTACGTCGTTTTCGAACTTGTATTGCAAGCATAGTTCATTTTGAAGTTGTAAACCTTGTGAGCATTATGGCCGTCATACAAATGGACTCATAGAAGCAAGCACTCGTCATATCAGGAACCGATAAGGCCATTAAGTTTGACGAAGTAAACCATATCGTTATCTTGGCAACTTAGATCTAGGGCACAGCCTGGCGGCCTTACGTGTGCAGGCAGTGTGCCATCTTCCATTCCACTGATACATTTGGCACATTCCCTATCAAACTGGGAACCCTTTTTGACTAATTTCATTTATCCAGTACCCAAATCTCCCCTCCAGCTGCTTTATGTTCCTCAACGGCTTCCACAATCCTGCAACTCAGAGACGCGGGGCCAAGACAGGCTTCCAGCCACAGTTATGAACCACAAATGGCAAAATCTGCCGCAAGCCCGTTCTTCTCTATGAGGAAGAAGCAGAACCTAGAACCCCTCTTTGTCGGTTATATGGCATGAACCATGAATCTGCTTCATATGCCAGATTGGTGACCCAGAACAGCACTTGATCGTGTTCCGAATATGCGCTTTCTGGTGAGCTCTGTATCATTTCCGCTTTATTCATTGCGGGCCAGTATACATTCTGGGAAACCTTTGGCTGTTGAATGACGTGTAATTGACCTCGAAACGGTCGCTCCGATCACACGAAGAGCTTGCATCGTACCATTTATATAGAGTTTGCCAGCCGTGCCCTAACATGCGAAACTCTACTGATCTACATAACCCTCATGGTTACGTAGCCCTCAGAGCAATGCGATTTCTAATAAGTTTCTAATAAGTTTTAAGCATCAAGGTTATCTTAGTTCGCTTCACTTTCATGCACGAGTTGGAAATCGTTTCAGGATGACATCCTACTCACAAATCTCAAATCTTTTTGGTATGCCACTTGTTAACCTTCATGTTGACAAACAGTAGCTAGATTAATTGAATCAACTACTAAGAGCTCTTTCAGCTCGTCAGAATAGCAACAGGACGTTGTTTCGCATATTTCTCCTCGCACGTACTTTTGTTCCTGTCTCTATCACTCTTTCATGATAACCTCAGCATCCTGGAGATGTTTTACGAGATCAGCAGGTCCAGTGCTTGCATTCGCTTGAACGTTACAGACCGGCCATGGTGAAGTCGTGTTAACTGTTCTACGATACATAAACGTGACACCATTGGGATATATGGCCTCTACGGCTCTCTCGAAAGCAGTCTCGTCCCCAATAAGTCGAATGGGGATATCGTGCATTTGAGTTCCGTACGTAGCCATTGTTTATGCTTGTCCTAATTTAAAGTTACGCCTTAGAAGTGGCTATACTATCAATGAGTTTTGATGTTGGTTGTTATTTCGTTTTTCTAATGCGACGATGTAATTTATAGCCAGCTATGGTGGTTTCACTGACATCACAATATACAGCGCACGATTACCCACACTTCTTGACAGAGAATAAGTTGTTGAATCGGATATGAACAGCGTCACCCTTTGTGATTGTCGGTGCAAGCAAATCACCTTTCGTCATCACTTAAACTGAAGCCTGTGACTGTGAAGCGACAATGGTCAATGAATTGATCTCATTATCTCATTGTATCTGAGATAGCAGCCGAAACGTTTTCTATATCTCTCCTCCTCAGCGACGGAACCCATGATGCCGGACGTCTTCCTCTCACTCCTCGCCCTCCTTCTTTAGAACACCCTCGTCTTGAAGAGTCTCCACCAGATTTGCCGGCCCTGTACTTGCTTGAGGTGCCGTAACCTCATACTTGGCTTCTTCCCCATGTGAGCTCTTGATAGGATGCGTCACTCCTTCACCATAGTGTCTCCTCAATGCGGTTTTGAAGGTGTTTACGTCCTTGATAAGACGGACGGGGACATATGTGATTTGACTTCCCCAAGTCTCGGGTTCTTGGTTTTCAGGCATTGTTGCAGGTAATGAATGTGAAAATGAAGTTTGTGGTGAGTTGGATGTGCTGTTGATGTTGTCCGTTGGTCTGGCTATTGACTGCTGGCGAATCGCCTCTTTCTATAGTCAATCTTCACCTCTTAGTGATTTAACTATCATTGCAGCAGACACTTGTCACAGTCATCAGGTAGCGTGATCATCAGCCCTCTGTCAATGAACAACCTTCAACCTGGAGTCCTTTCACAGGTCTATCGGACACATCATCACTCTCAACAGCTCGGTGGTTGCGGCCTATTCACTTCTCGAGTAAATCGTTTCCTAGTACCCTCTCAGCCAATCTGATTCACAAGATTCATTTGCTCGCTGCCCGAGTTGCTTGGGCAGAAAATTTACTGGATCACGCAAGACGTAAATTCATTGCTGAATACCTATGTCAGGCATACCTACGCGATAAACAACTTTGATGAAGAAGTGTTCACAGTTCTATCAGCAGAATGATCTTCTCAAATTAAAATCATGGCTTTTCTTTTCCTTGTAACCAAGCTGAAGCTTTCCCTTCTGTTCAGATGCAGCTATTGGGTTTATGAACACGGTCTTCCTCTTTCCTGGTTATCCATCATGACACTCCCCTCCCAGTATTTCCATCCTTGTTCACCCTTTCTCAATCCTTCATGACGAGCTCAAGTTCCTGCAGTTCTTGGAGTAGATTGAAATCCCCTGAACCCTTTACCACGAGTCCCTCAACCTTATAATGTACCATAGCCTCCGTCGTTGTTGTCATGCATACTCCACCAGGAAAGGAATCGGGCAACTTCTTGTCTATAGCCTCTAGATTTTCTTCTCTAACGAGCCTATAAGGGATGTAAATTGTGCGTGCACTGTATTCAGTTTTGTCTCCGATATTTGAGTCTCCGGACATTTTGGCTGCGGAGGATATAATTCACAGTTATTCGCGGTGTGACTCTTTAACGGGTATGTGATCAATTTTCTTCCTTCTTGGTCAGCCGTTCTACCGATTGGTCGCTTCTATATATACTCAATGCGCTCTGCCTGTTCGTTGTCACTCACGTTGCATCAGGCACACTGTCACTATGAACAAGGCGTGAACGTCAGGCTATCAGCCTCCTTTTTTGAAAATGAGCTGTCTTCCAGTTCAAAAGCCGACAAGCTTCTTTACACAGTCCTAAAGGTCCATTCAGGATGTGAAGACGTGCTCTATACACAGCCACTCAGCTGTGGTCACTTGTCCTACTCTTGGTAAATACAGTCTCATACCTTATTAGGAAGTATAAGATTAGTAACCTAAATATGGTGCGCTTTCATGCCTTCTCCATTACTCGTATCTCTTCCTCTCACGCTTCCTGTGGTCAGCTGCTCTTTCAAGACACTAAATCTAAAGATAACAGGATTTGTCTTACGATGGCCTACAAACTTCGCGGTTGCCTCCCCCGTCCTTCCCTCCGCGCTCAATCCCGAGAAACATATTCACCGTCCGTGAGGAATTTCTGTAGATTGATGTTGTCGGAGCCGTCCCGAAGCCTAATATTCTTCTGCGCTACATGGTCTGCAGTTTCCTTCTCAAATGTGACATCAATTCCCAGTCAAAAAAAAGGTAAAGTACTATATATTAAATAGTGAGACTTACTACCAAGCAAAAAGCCAAATAAAGAGAACCAGTTATTTATCAACGATAGTCTTCCTTCTCATCCCTTCCTTACCCATCACACTACGACCAGCCTCGACAGCTTCTTCCAACTCGGCCAAGCACGCCGCCTTGTCGTAGCAGTTCGTAATATTAATACGATACGTTAGACGGGCAGACATGTTTCTCTGTCCCTGACTCCTCCTGAACTCCATCACCATGCGACCAATAGTAGCAGGGCTTACAACCCTCTCAGGGTGGTTCTTGATATACCAAAACAGCTTCTCATAGAGTAGAGATATGCCAGCAATCATCTTGAGAATAACGGTGGATGTTTGGGTAGCTGTCAAAGGCCCAAAGAAATTCAGAGCCACCAGGAACTTGGAGGTCAGAATGTCTCCTGCTGAAGCATCAAAACATCCTTGAAGGAAGAGGTTGCGGACCTTGGAGTCGTGGAGGAGGGGCGTGCAGCTTGGAATGCCCCAGATAGTGTTGATGATTTTCAGGATCTTGATAAAGGCGCTGTAGAGGGCTGTGGCGCCTACGAAGGGGATGAAGGGGATTGAAGAAGTACCAACCGCTTTCCAAAAGACGTCCATGCCCAGATTGATTGACTCTTAGGAGTGTTAGCAACGGGTTATATGGGAAAGGATGGATAATTTTTACCTTTCAGCTTCATGTCTGCCGAGTGGCACTGTGCTGCTGTCCAAAGAAGTTTGAGACCGTCTGCTAGCAGCATTCCTCTTGTTTCCTTTACCAAGGAATCAACACCTGACGTCTCCATTGGCTCACCTACAAAACATCAGCTACATTACATGTATAAAGGTTACAATATTCTCCTACCGTCTTCCGGCTGTGGCATGCTGAGCCGGATAATGGCCACGCGCAACCGCCGTCCAAACTCCCTCTCAAACTGGCCGCGATAGTTGGAGTCGTAGTCTGCAATGGCAAAGTTCATTGCATCCTTTTCAAGCTGATCCATATCGACTGCCTTTGTACGATTACGCTGGCGTCGACGCAGCTGGCAGAAGTGGTCATCGACCAAGGTATCGAACTGCGTAAAGACGACGACGACAGGTATGTCGCCGACGTCGGCGTTGAGGAAGAATTCCTTTTCGGCACTCTCAATCGGTCGATTCGAACGACAGCTGATACAGTACCTGGAGACGTGACAGTTAGCCAATGCGATCTGGGTAGGCTAAGAGCTGACTCGCCAGATGCAGTGCAGCTGATCTGCCAAGTTCGGCTGCTGTCGACGATACCTGATAAAACTGTTGATCTCGTCGACACATTTCAGGTCACCTGCTTCGAAGCCTCCCGAGTCGTGCAGAACAAGGTTCTCATTCTCACCAGGAAAGGTAATAGGTTGCCAGACCTTTTCCCTCTTTGTCCCGACAGTACGGTGACTGACTCCTGTCTGTATTCACCGTCACTCGCATGCGCCTTTCACGTTGGAGATATAACTTACCTTCTCAGGAGGGACACCAAACACGACCGAGCATATCGTCGACTTTCCAACGCCGGCTTTACCAATGACCAGGATGCGAAACTTGTCGCAGCTCTCGGGGAGGTTGTTGAACGTGGGACCCTCAACGACGATCTTGGAGGTGTCAACCTCCAAATTATATTCGTCATTCGGCGCGTTCAAGTTGACGGGGCTCGGTCTTGGACTGTAGTATGTAGCCATTTTAACCTCTCTGATTGCAAGGAAAGAAAGATGAAAGAGTTAAAATCGCAAGGAGCGAAGTTTTCGTTCCCCTCGTTCTTAACCGCCAGCCTGATTTTGAAAATGCAAGTCAGCAAGCCACAGCTAGAGCTGAAAGCATCAACAGCCAATAGCCCTACAGTAGTTGATTTATTTTCATCCCAAACTGAGACATTGACGCCTGAATCTTTGTTCAAAGGCAGGCAGATTTTTGTCTGCCCAAGGCTGTACAATGCCGCTCCGCATTGTCAGCGTACAGAGCGAGTTTCTGATAAGGTTGAGGGGTCAAAAGAGGCTTCAGCCTCCAGGCCATGAAGGTAAAGAACACTAAAAAAAGGCATATAGATAAAATATTTATTGCCCTTACTATTACTGTTACTTAAGATCTTACTTTTAGCTGAAAAGCTAAATATCTTAACAACTGACTCTAAAGGTGTATAAATAAATAAGTGCTGCCTGCTGCTCTTCCGTGAAGACAATCCAGCGTAAAGCACACAAAATACACATAAGGTAAGATGCCCATTAGAAGCAAATCTGTCGACTCAAGATAAGACTCTCAAGATTACTTCCACCATGCCCAAAAGACTAATCCTGTGGCATTCTCAGTGCTGTCTTCAGTTCCAAGTTGTCTGACCTTTAGGGACCTCGTCATCACCGTCCCCGAGCTTCGAAACGTGGATGGACTCAAAATATCCATATAAACTCACACTTCCTCGACCTTTCGGGTTTCTTCGCTTCTCAATTCACATCTTATTTCAGGTTTGTCGTGACAATGGAGGTCTTGGTTTGACCATCGACTCAACATACTCACAACATCACTTCTGTCACTTATCATTGATGGTTGCTTAACTTATTCGATTCACATGTGAACAACTACAGGTAGCTCATTACCCTCGGCATCCCAAAATGACACTCGATATACGCCTCTCTCCCCCCCACGCGGCTGGACCATCCATTTCAGATCTCATCGTCTTCGACCGAATCGACCCTGGAGAATAGCACCGACATCTTGGAGCTTTCTCTGCAGGTCGGTTGGCTCTTTAGTCTTCGCAAGCGCAGTAACACGACAGGTACTGGGGCTGTACTTGTAGTTGACCTTAAACCCAAAAGGATAAATGACTCTCAGTGCGTCTTCAAACTTTCCCTTGTCGTTGATGAGCTCAAGTTTGATGTCCTGTTTGCAAGACCACTCAGCGGCGCCCTGATTAGTTCTGGTGCAAGATTCAGAAGGCATGATTTCTTTAGTGTTGAATATGTGGAGGTTTGGTTGTGCTGAGGTTTTTGGCATGGGAAATGTTGGGGGTTGACGATCTATTTATACTTGATCTTAGAGTCTTTTCGTTTTAATCTTTGCGCTGAATCGAGCATTGCCTTGACTGCGGGTGTGATCGCCCGTATATCTGTTTTTCATCGTGACTGTGTGTACATTCCTCTATCCGTGACGAGCCACGTCAAACGAAAGCAGATGGATGCCTTTCAGAGCTAATCTTGATCGCGTCTACGGGACCACTGACAGCAATCTATTCACAGAGGTCATTTCGGTCATGAGTGACGTCAACGTGGTCCCTTTCTTCAGGCACTGCCATAAATTGATCTCGTGGAAGTACTTCAGATATTTGCAGCCACTTCCTGGGAGCTTATCATTGTTCATCTGATGGCTAGCACTGCTGATTAGTCATGAGTTATCAGGCGCATTCAGCGACAGCTGTATCTTGTGAATCTCGAAGCTCTCGTATCAGCACAGACATCGATGCTCTTGTCATCAATCCCTTCGACAAGTGAACCGCACTTTCATCAACGTTGACTGCCTACATCTCAAGGACCGCCTATAAAAGGCCCCAAGGACCCCGATTATCATCCCCATACCCTCTATGCAAGTCCACAAGTCCACCAAATACAACAAACAGCATCACGCCACAATGCCTATCATCAAAAGATGGGCCAGCACAAATGCTGTCGACGCTGAGAAGCTCGTCTTCAGACACGAGTTCCCGGTCAAGCGGTTCTGCAGGATGGAAAAGCTCCGAGATGCGCTTGGAGATATCTTTGGCTCGGATGATTGGGTTGTCGAGTACGATGGAGATAATCTCGTCATCAAGGTGGGAAGCAGGGTTGATCTCAGGGAGGAGTTGAAGGCGCGTGGTATCATCTACAAGTCTATGTGTACAGCTCGGGCTGTCTGGTTTTTCCGGTATTTTGAGTATGCCCGTTACTGCTGAGTTCAATGTACTGACTCGGGTTTTTGAGCGCAAGCGTGGCCGTGAAGTACTCATGGTCTGTGGATATCTCATGATGACAGTTTGTGATAAGGAGCCAATAAGCCAATGAACTAGGTTGCGACTTTACATGCTAAGCTCCAGCCGCCACAATTGATTTCTCTTCTCAAATATTGGTATCTTTAACTTTAGTTGACGTTATCATGGATCTTGTTCCTTCAGCATTGTTTGCCAGTTTAAAGTTCGATTGTAAGACGTACTGAGACTACAGGGTAGTGTGATCTGGAGTTAAGAAATATTAAATAAGACAGTATAAGATAGTTTATATTTATATTAAGTATACTTAAAGTAAGAAATAAATAGTATCCTTAAGTTTAATAATTTAGAATATTTTAATGAAGGCGAGATAGATAAAGAGGTAAGTGGAATAATTTACTGTTTCTTCTGATGTGCTGATGGTTATAAATCAATATTTGAACAGGGAATAGCACATTAAATTAAAGTCCTCGTTGACGCAATTGGTTAGCGTGTCAGACTTTTACACCTAATTAAGTGAGTGAGATCTGAAAGTTGAGGGTTCGAGTCCCTCACGAGGAGTTTCTTTTTTCGACAATTCCGTATGTGCAAATCAATCCTTAAATCCACAGGAATCGATTGCACTTGGTTTTATCTTTTTATCTCTTTATTTGAGCTCGTGGTGGTCGTTTGAAGTTGGGCTCTGGGCGCGCCACTGGTATGAGTGTGGCGCTCTCTGTGGCACAAGCTCACCATTTTCGCAAGAGCCATCGAACTGACGCTCCTGTCTGCGCCTGCTGCGCTCGAGTCCAGGGCCATTCTGTTGACGGTGTGATTGTTGGCCCGCATCACGGTCTTTCTACCCTCGTCACTTGCCTCAACATCTGAACACTCAAGATTTCGCGTTCGACGCCTCGATCCCAGACTGAATCGATTTCGCGCCCAAGAATCTCTGGCCGCGCCTGGTCCCCGTGATCGTTCATTTCCCCGCTGTCGCTTTCGAGTCGGACGTCCTCGCCTGATCTTCCTTCATTGTTTCACATCATCCGCTCCATGCGACACTCCGAGATGCCTTCCCCGCTGCAAGGACCGATTCCGCGACCGCGATGCGTGGGCCCGGAGCGCTGTGAGGTCCCAATACCGTTGACCCCAAAGAGCTGGAAGTCGACGAGAACATATTCCTGATTCCTACATCCTCTCCGCAGCCGACGACTCGCCGCCTGAACCATGACTGGCCCGCAATCGCCGGCGTTGCTTTCCTACGACAGCATAAAATAGATCCAGTTGCTCCACGACAACGACTGAGCTCCGAGAACAAAGAGATACCTACTGTTTCAAGAGGCGCGCACCAACAAACGTCGCACGGAACGTCAAACGACTCAAGTCCCATCTCTAGCGTCCGCCGACAGCCTTGATCGTCCTCCCTTTCTCTGCGACTCATTCTCCCACCATCGTTCACGACCCCGCATGCATTCTCGAACAGCAAACCCGGCGAGAACCTAGCCCGACGATACGATCGATTCCAATACCCGGTCTTCCATTCGACTTGATACGCTCGATCTTCTTTCTCTTCAGAGATGTCTGGATCGGGTGGTGTCGCGTTGGACGAACTGGGATTCACCGGCAAGATTGCTCTCATTCAGCTAGAACTGATGGAAGATGCAAGATGACTGCCTCAACTCTTGTTCTCTTCGATAGACTCATCGTCGCGACTGTCCTCAGCTTGTTGTTGAACTTCAGGACGTAGACTACATACTGCCATTTGTCGATGCAGCTGTGAGTCTACACTTGGGGAGAGGCCGTATGTCGCACTATGGCTACGAGAACCCTTGTAGCTCTGCTGGGAGACGTGAACAGCGACAGATCACTACGAAGCTGTCTCCCTACCTCTACACGTAGTAAAGTCGTGGGAGCCTCTAAGATGACATACAACAACCGGACTCTAAGCGTAAGTATTGTAGACTTGGGTTTTATGAAGCCATCACAGTTGCAAGGTGTTTGACACCCGAGAAAGAATATTGACATTAATCGTGCTTGGAGACAATACGTAAAGTAGTCTCGATGATCCCACTGCACGTCCGTTTTAAGCATATGTCGCAGTATTTTTGTGTCGAGCCACTGCGCTCTGTAGCGTGGTCTACAGTGTTTTTGCATCATCCGATTACCGCAATATCGATGACCGACTACAATTGCAGACAAGGCAAAAGATTTGGAATTGCCTGTAGACTGTAAATTCTTAGTTCACCCATCTTGTGTTGTCAACTTCGGTAACATCTCGTGGTAGATATGTCGTAATTTACAGCAATTCCTGTCAAATATGGTTGCGCAAGGATTAAAATTAAAGGTCCCGGGTAGCAATGCGCATTTGACGGTTATACTCAATCCATTAATCCTGAGCCATGTCATTCTGTAAGAGTTGCGCAATTAAAGACATTGGCGATTCAAGGCTGATCTATCATTTCCGAGATTTCTGTTATTGCGATGTACGTCGCGAAGAATCCCGTGTGCTCATCGCCCCAAGTTTGTCATGCAATCTCGACTCACAAACTCGAGACGCGACACCACGACAACGCAAATGATGACCAGACTCGTGACGAGCAACCGTGATAATCAGGCAATAAATTCATCCTCAGGAATTATTTTTCCTGATATCGCAGGCGTTGAAGCTATCTTCTCGCCTCCTCAGAGTCACGTCGTCACCATAAACGCGTCAATCAACCGCAATACCTCCGCCTCCATTTGCCTCCTCAACACGTCCTCACCTCATCATGACAAGCTCAAACCTCATGTTTCCCATCTCTCCCGGCTGCCTCTCTCTCAACAAAATACACAAAAAAAATCTACGCGTCCCTCCATAGCCTCAGCATCGCCCCAGCACCGCCCCGATCAGAAAACCGTCTAGCTGAAAGCTTAACACCGTCCTTCTCCATTCAGAACCTCCCGAGATGAATATCCCGGTGTCTCATCTCAATCCCCAATTGTGCGCGCCGCCTTCACTGACGTCATGGAAGGCCAAGCAGGAAAAATATGCAGCGAAATTAAGCTTAACCAAAGACAGGGGTTGCCCCGGCATTCAAATTACGGGTGGCCTCCTTGTTTTACGTGCAGGTTTCTGGTTTTTTGTGTTGTTTATGCGCGATGACACTGTATCGGATCGTTGGTGTGAATCGGCGCTACCAAGTCCCGTTGGGACCTTGACAAGAGGGTGAGATGTCACTGGCGGGTCTGTCATGTGTGCAAAGTCTCGAGTGCCACGTACGATACTTGCCAACGGTGTTTATTCACCGTCTAACGTGCCTTGAACACGTTATGTCCAACGAACTGCCGAATCGGGCATCTCATGCCATTCACTGCATGATGTATTCGATTCGAGATTTTCTCGCGCCGCAACCAATCCCCTCGCCCCAAACATCACCATCTTTCCAAAAAGTTCCCTCTGCATGACCTAAGTGGACCAATACCGGGCTGTGTATAAAACTGCACATAACAGGATTAAGTAGTTCTCGCCGACTAAAAGATACAAAAGCTACCACTAGAGGGACTTTTAACTCTAAAAACTGGATTTATGAAATCGCCCCCTTTTCATTTGCAACAGAAAGAGATGAAGGTTGCCGGGGAGGGAAGGAGTGAATGAGATCTAGCGTGATGGGCGCTATTAAGCTTAAAAAACGAGGCTTAGACAATGACGTTGTGGGGCGATTTATGGGGACCTTGGATTTGTGATTTGGAGTGGGGACGGCCTGGACGGTTAGTGGGCGTTTAGATCTTGGCTGGCGGTTGGAATACGACGGACTCATCTGAACAGAGTATCTCTATGAAGATGGTTGTGAGTACCTAGGGTAAAGGGTAAAGCCATAATGTCAAGCGGTACATTATTCTCATCAAGATACAAGTATTGCCACAGTTTGTTTACCATGTCTTTGCACGGAACAGTCCAGATTAAACAAAAAACACCCCTGCAAGTGCCAAGATTCGCAGCTCCAAGCAATACCATCTTAGCCCTCGGCATCACCAATCACACAGCCCGCCCAGGATCTTGGCATGCCTCGTGGCTGTGGCTGTGTCGGAAGTGTATTTTCACCCCCTGCCTTCATCCCCAGCGCTTTCAAGTCTCAATATCTTGGCTTCTCCTCTTTCCACCTTTTTCCCCCTTCCTCTCATGAACCACACATTCCATCTCACAGGCCGTCGTTCAGCATGGACTCTAGCACTCCACGACGTCCGCGCGCTCCTACAATCACCGTCGACACTGCGGCTGTCGACTCAAACGAACCCGGTAATTCTCCAGTGCGATGACTTCCTCACATCATACGACCAGGTAAAACTAACATGGTAGAACCAGCACCAGCAGATTCAATCTCTCCATCTCCGCTAGACGACACAAATACTCTTGCAGTACCGACAGCTAAATCCAGAGCCGAATCATGGTCCTCGTCGCCGTCTACAAAAGTCGGCACCGATCATGAACAAATGTCTCGCGAGGTAGAAGCCCTAAGAAAAGGCGACCAAGCCGAAATCCTAAAGCCCGACCCCGGCGAGGAAGACCTGTTCCACGTGGAAAACAACCCATTCGCTTTTTCGCCCGGTCAATTGGCGAAACTCATTAACCCAAAGAACTTGGCTGCTTTTGTTGCGCTCGGTGGTCTGCCCGGTCTGCAGAAGGGCTTGAGGACTGATGCAAAGGCTGGATTGAGCGTGGATGAGGGAAAGCTCTCGGGTGCAGTATCATTCGAAGAAGCGACTTCTTCAAAGGTTGAGAAGGCGACACACAGCGATGCGCACGCTTCAGGAAAAGATGCATTTCCTGATCGGAAACGAGTATACGGCGCGAATCGCCTCCCGGAACCAAAGTCAAAGTCATTTCTTGAACTAGCATGGATCGCTCTACAAGACCGCGTGCTTATCCTTCTCTGCATCGCAGCCGTTGTATCACTCGCCCTAGGTCTCTACCAAACCTTTGGAGGATCGCATGAAGACGGCGGTGCAAAAGTGGAATGGGTTGAAGGTGTCGCCATTATCGTTGCCATCACCATCGTGGTCGTCGTCGGCGCAGCAAACGATTGGCAAAAAGAGCGACAGTTCCAGAAACTCAACCAGAAGAAGGAAGACCGCATCGTCAAGATCACGCGCTCCGGAAAACCGCAAAACATCTCTATTCACGATGTGCTCGTCGGCGATGTCATGCTTCTTGAACCGGGTGATGTCATCCCCGTGGATGGTGTTTTTATCGAGGGCCATAATCTCAGCTGTGATGAGAGTTCGGCGACGGGAGAGTCGGATCTTATTAAGAAGGTTCCTGCTGAGCAGGTTCTTCATGCGCTGCTGCATGAGCAGGCGCCGCAGTTGAAGAAGCTTGATCCGTTTATTATCTCAGGTGCAAAGGTCCTTGATGGCGTGGGAACGTTTCTTGTCACCGCGGTGGGAGAGCAGAGCAGTCATGGAAAGACAATGATGTCGCTTCGTGACGATCCGGGACTGACGCCTCTCCAAGCAAAGCTCAATCTCCTCGCAGGTAAGTCAACCATCCCAATTACACAAGATGCATACTAACAGGTCAGGATACATTGCAAAGCTTGGTAGCGCAGCTGGTCTTCTTCTCTTCTTCGTCCTCCTCATCGAATTCCTCGCCAAACTGCCCAACAACCGCGAATCAGGCGAGCAGAAGGGCCAAGATTTTCTCCAGATCCTCATCACTTCCATCACCGTCATCGTCGTCGCCGTACCTGAAGGTCTTCCCCTCGCAGTAACACTTTCCCTCGCCTTCGCGACAAAGAAGATGACGCGCGAGAATAACCTGGTGCGACATCTTCAATCGTGCGAAACTATGGGTAACGCCACGGTCATCTGCTCCGACAAGACTGGTACGCTCACCGAGAACATCATGACCGTCGTCGCTGGCTCATTGGGCATTCGTGGACTATTTTCCTTTGGCGACTCGTCGTTTGAGCAGGAATCCGCTGGTGCTGAGAAGAGAGAGACCATTGCGCTCGCTCAGTTCGCGACTAAGCTTGATCCTGAGTACAAGGAACTTCTCAAGACTGCCATCACCGTCAACACCACTGCTTTCGAGTCAGACGAAGAAGGAAAGCAAGGCTTCGTCGGCACAAAGACCGAGACTGCTCTTCTCGACTGGGCCCGTCGCTATCTCGGTCTCGGTCCCCTCGCAATCGAACGCGCCAACCATCCCATCACCCGTCTCTTCCCCTTCAACTCCCAGCGTAAGTGCATGGGTGCCGTTGTGCAAATTCCCGGTCCCACGAAGGATAAGCCAAAGTACAGACTCTACATCAAGGGCGCTTCCGAAATCGTTCTCGGCGAATGCACCACCATTCTCGGCGATCCTACTACATCACCTACCACCGAGGCCCTCTCCGACGATGGAAAAGAGGAACTGCGATCCATCATCTTCAACTACGCGACCAACTCTCTTCGAACTCTGGGTCTTGCCTACCGCGACTTTGAGAACTGGCCTCCTGTCCTCACCCTCCGTCCCGAAGACGACAACGCTGATATCGACCTCACTGATTTGGTGCACAACCTTACCTGGATGGGCGTAGTCGGCATCCAAGATCCCGTGCGCAAGGGTGTTCCCGAAGCTGTAACCGACTGCGGCATCGCCTCTGTGAATGTAAAGATGGTTACAGGCGACAACGTCGAGACCGCTCGCGCCATCGCTCTCAACTGTGGCATCCTCACCGAAAGCACAATAAACGAGCCCAACGCCGTGATGCAAGGCTCTGACTTCCGCAAGCTCTCTGAATCAGACCGCACAGCAGTTGTCAAGAAGCTCCGTGTGCTCGCAAGATCGAGTCCAGAGGATAAACGCATCCTGGTCAAGACGCTGCGATCGCTGGGTGAGATTGTCGCTGTTACAGGTGATGGAACCAACGATGCGCCTGCGCTCAAGGCAGCGGATGTTGGTTTCTCTATGGGTATTACTGGCACGGAAGTCGCGAAGGAAGCATCGGATATTATCCTTATGGATGATAACTTCTCGTCTATTGTTGTTGCGTTAGGCTGGGGTCGTGCTATTAACGACTCGGTCAAGAAGTTCTTGCAGTTCCAACTCACCGTTAACATTACAGCCGTCGGCGTGACCTTCATCTCAGCTGTTTCAGACGACGAGCAGAAATCCGTTCTCAACGCTGTTCAACTCCTCTGGGTCAACCTTATTATGGATACCTTTGCCGCTCTCGCTCTCGCTACTGATCCCCCCACCGGAAGTCTCCTTCACCGCGAACCCGAAGCTCGAACTGCACCGCTCATCACAATCACCATGTGGAAGATGATCATTGGGCAATCGATCTACCAGCTCATCGTCTGTTTCGTCCTCTGGTTCGGTCGCGATGCAATCCTCGGCTATGACGAACGCGAAGTCCGCTCCCTCATCTTCAACATCTTTGTCTTTATGCAGATCTTCAAGCTCGTCAACAGTCGACGCATCGATAACAAGCTCAACATCTTCGAGGGTCTCCACCGCAACCATTTGTTCATGCTCATGATGACCATCATGGCAGCTGGACAGATCATCATCATCTTCTTCGGCAGCGACGCCTTTGTCGTCACACGTCTGAACGGTACCCAGTGGGGAATTTCTCTCGTTCTTGGCTTCTTCTCTATTCCTATCGGTGTTCTCATTCGTTTATTCCCCGATGAGTGGTTCCATGCTTTTGTCAAGGTTCTTGCTAAGCTGTGGCCAAGCTGGATCCGCTTCTCGCGCAAGAAGAAGGATACCTCTGAGGAAGACGGCACTGAGCCGTTTCCTAAGGAGAAGCTGGAGGGATATGATATGGATACCGCACTTCTCGGCATTCGCGATGATCTCGAGTTCTTGAAGCGTGTTCGCGGCGGCCGCATGACAGCGTTGAGCGATGCCATGGCGCGCTCACGCGAGAAGATGCTTCGACGCAAGAGATCCGAGTCTCGACCCAGAAGCAAGCTCCGCAGTCGTCGCGGTTCATCAAGATCCTCAAACAGACCGCCCATCTCACCGATGATGTCTGTCGTTGGCATGCCGGGTATTGTAGCTGCTAGTGTAGCAGGATTACAGCCTGGACAGGGTACCAGTAACGAGAACCTTGAGGCGCGACAGGCGTGAGAGCGAGCATGATATACTGGATACTTGTGTTAATTTTGGGTTATGTTATGTTGCATTATTTAGAGATTGAACGAGTGCTGCATCTGTTTTAAGTGTACGAGTTCGATCAGAGCAATCATTTATTTATAGGAACGGAAAGGAAAGTCACCAAAGCAAAGCAAATCATAGATGTCTGGAGTTGGCGGTCGATATGTCATGTTATATATACAAGTCTGAGCGAATGATCTATCTATTAATAAAAGTTTGAGCAACAAAGAGATTATTGAGTGTATCTTGCATTGATGGTGATCATTTCTTGGTGGTGAGAATTGGGGAGAGCTTGCGACGCCTGCTCACTAATATTTAGCGCGGTCAGCCACTAAATCTCATTGTTTTTAGTTGCTCCATTATCACTAACCAGTAGGCGGCTCAGTGCAGGTGATGACTGGAGGCACAGCGTTCCAAGGCGGGCAGACCTGGAGTAACAGTTTGTTACCACGCTCAAGTCTAACAACAAACAACGGGACAAAATCTAAAGTCAACCATCGATCCGTTGCCCAGAGCCCTGTTGTCCTCGGGGCGCGCTCACGGTGGCATCATACCCTTGCTTGGTGTTAAAGCTCGAAGAAGGACACCTCGACCCCATGATTCTGCTGATATTTCTCTCTCAGATCTTGTTCTGCTCGTTCACCTTCCAATAACTGCCACACACCAATCCGCAACTCTGTCAAACACGGTGTCGGCACAGGAGACAAATCGACAAACTCTTCCAATGTCGAACTGAACCCCTCCTCCCAAGAAACATTGAAATCATCTAGCCCTTGTCGAAGCACAAGAGCTTTCAAGGTCGACGGGAGGACATCCCCCAGTGTAAGATCATCATCTATCACTGCGGTGCTTGTCGCATCAATGCTTTCGAGGGCAGAGAATCCCTTCAAAGGGCCCAAAGGTGTCGAAGAGGGCACATCGACTTCGATGTAGTCGTCGCATGCTTCCCAATGAATGGTCAGATGACGGAGAACCTTGCGGCATGGCATCAATCCTTGGCTGATGGATTGGCCATCAAAGATATGCGCCTCCCCTGACCGATACAAGTCTAGTCGAAAGAACTCTAGATTCTTCATCTGGGATAGCAATTGCTTTAAAAAGCTTTCTGCAACGGTGGTGTATCGCAAAGTGAGACTCGTGAGGGATTCCGAAGGCGACACTGTAGGCATCGCGGCGTCAAGTGGCGGCTCTGGACAGCTGAGTTTTAGCGCGACTTCTCTGAGCCAAGACGCCCGAAAGACTGGCAGCATGTCCAAGACCTCCCCCCTTCTCATCAAGTCTGTATGGCAGTCAAAATCTCCAGAGGGCCAACTAAATGCTTCCAGACGTTCGAGTCTGGTCGCTCTCGTCATCGAATGAGACTCGCACGCCAGGCGTAGCACATCCCCTATGGGACTGAAATTCGGTGTCGGTGAGCCATATCCATCATCACGGTGAAACATGTCAATCACCAGTATCTCTACATTCCGCAACTGCAGAATAATAAGCGCGACAATTGTCTCCACGTCCAGGTCATAAAGCCTCTTGAGCCAATCTTCTGAAGGCGATAATCCTGCTTCCCGTATCAGGCTGCTTATCGCAACATTGGCGTCTCGAAGAGAAATCGAGTCTGCATGCATGCGCGGTTTCGGGCCATATCCGATCTCTTGAACGCTGAATTCACGGATAAATGACGCCAATTCCGGTCGGTGAAGTAGGTTGAGTAACAACTGCTGGATGGGCGTAGATGCATCCGGTTTGCTGTGGTCCCAGGTCCATGTTATCTTTCGGTAAAGATATTTCTCTGTGATGGCGTTGAATGCTCGTGAGACAGATGACAGGTGGAGCAGGTCAATTGGCGCAAGACATTGAGCAATGATATCCCATAATTCGGGTACGGCTACAAGGCGGAGAATCATGGAACATAAATGCGCGACTAGCAGCGTATGATAAGTATTCTGAGCACAAGAGACGGAGAGCTCAAATGTTGTTTATCTATGGCCAAAACGCGACGGCCGAGTGAGGGGTCATCGTATTCTGTAGTTACTGGCCAATTCACCAGCAGGGTAGCTTAAGCACTAAACCCTTAGGGAAGATTTGGGTTATGGCCAAACTGCAAAAATGCCTGCCAATCCTCATTTGTCGTCGAAAAGTATGGCGGCATCATCTGTGATACTGGAAACATCATATCCTGTCCAGAGAAATACCCATCTTGAAACGTCGTCGAGTCTGCGGTGTCGTATCCAACTTGAGGCATCATTGTGAATTTTTTAGAGCCATGACTTGTCGGAAACATGGACATAGCCTCTTGCGAGGTGCTTCCTTTCGGCAACGTTGTCGTCGGATATTCCGAGGTGCTGTCTTGCTGAACCGTTGTCGCCGAATCTTCAGAAGTGCGTCTTGTCATCGCAGACTCCACGAAGCTGTATCCATCGTTTGTCGTTGATGCAGCATCCAGTTGCCCGCTGGGATCACTCATCGTGAAGCCCATCTCCTCCAAAAACGAGACTTTCAGCTGAGGAACTAATCCTTTCACGTACTGCTCAATATCCTCTTTTATGGTCTCGGGCAGTGGACACCCGACCGTGCTCAAGTACCCCCCAACAAGCGGAGGCATCTCCCGCTCTAAAAAACGGCCGAGCTTATGGCAGAGATTAAACTCCCTAGCATTCTTATCTTGGTCCGTTTCGTCAAGATCTGAAGCGTTAGTTGGTTTGTAAAGAAGCGATGGAAAGGGAATGCTGACATACAAGGGTTTGGTCTATCTTGGTCATGCGGGAATGCAATTACGTAGACGTCATTCCATCTGTCTACATCGCTCTTGTTCTTCCTCGTACCTTTCTTACTCTTTATTCTCTTTAATTGATCCTGGTTTAGTCCATCTTGCGCAACGATACAAGGTGTGCATGCCTGCAATTGCTGCGAGTGCGCCTCGAGAGCCTCCGAGGTCTTGAGATCCACACGACAACGCCGACATTGGTACTCGGGCAACGAATGTCTACGCTCAATATGTTCTCTATCCATCGTTGTGAGAACTGGAAACTTTGTTTCATATTGCCGAGGGGACACTTACTTCAATCGATGCATGGATTCGTAGCCAGGATATGCACAGCTCTTCCACTTGCGATGTCCGTACTTGAGAGGATTGCGCTTGAAGAAGGGACAGGCAAGCATTCGTATCTCCAGACCTCGATCGATACGCTGGGGTTTGGAGCTCTCCTCATCACCATCATCGTCGCCGTTGGTGCGCTTACGCTTGGGGAGACGGCGATGCTGAGATGTCCCCTTCTTCTGTGCACTGGAGCCGGAGCTGGATGCCAAGTTCTGGCTTTGAGAAGCGGTACCTTGACGACCTTCATTTCCGCTAGGCCTCTCTTGTGTCAACGGCGCCAGCCATTGTTGAAGCCATCCATGGAACCATTGCTTAACGACCACACTCTCCGGGTCGCCATTGGACGTTCCATCAGACTCATCACCATAGTCCGAGTCTTGGGAGGCCTCGAGGGTATGATGGTCCCGTTTGGACTCGTCTTGCGAGCAAATTTGTTTAAAAGGTCGATATGCGGAGGACATTGTCTCGTCATCCATCAGAGGCATCAAAAATTCATGATCTTGGACCCAGGCACCAATACCACGAAGCAATGTGTCCATATTTTCCAGAGGGCGGTAACAGGCCATGGCATCGTTCGTCCACTCTGGTATCTTACGAGGCACCACGGGGGACGCATCACCGTGCTGCGACATGTTTAGTTGCCGGGGCATATCAGGTCTGCTGCTATAGCCACTGTCTGCGACCGACTTATTGCAATCATGTTGAAGGCGAGCGTTTGGCGTCTGTTCAAGAATGCTGACCGCATTGCAGGTGGCCCATTGTACAAGCTCAGCATCCTTTTCACCTCCGAATACACCTAGGCATTGCGGACTGGCAATAAAGTGTTCGGCAGCGTGGTTGAGGCGTTGATCCCACGCTGCAGGACCAGTGAATCGGACTGATGCACATTGGGGCATGGGGCAGCCAAGATCTTGAGGCAGTCCACACGTCATTCGCATCGACGAGTCTGAACGGTCCACAAGCCATTGCACCTCTGTATTGGGAAGCAATGCTATTTCCGTTTCTTTACTGTACGACTTGGTCGATAGATGATGACCGAGAAGATGGATTCGAAAGTCGTGTTTATTCACGAAATGCCGTGAATTCCATCCACCGGCGCTATTCAGCCGTGCCTCAAACCCATCCTGGTCGGATGGGTAGTTGATCTGCGGAAACTTGCATTGATCCAAAAGATGCTTTGAATGTGCGCAATCGCCTTCAGAACACTCCCAAAACACGCGGTCAAGGTTCAAATGCCGGGACACCACGTGATTCTTCCAGTCTCTTTTACTCGCGAACTCCTGATCGCAGCCGGCGAAGTGGAAGACGCAGAGGAAGGGAAAGTGACTGGCTTCGCTGGGTTTTCGACGGGAGATATCTTCTTGGACAGTCGAGAGCTGAGGCGTATGGTCACCGTAGTATTCGAAGTGAGCACGCTCGGGAGCGTTGGCTGCTTGTAATAGATTGATCGCATCAGCTGGTTCGTTGAGGTAGCGGCGTATCGCAGGAGAGTGGTGGGGGAGCGGACGATGTTCCATTGTGGAGATGACGTAGGCGAAGGCCCCGTAGGATGAAGTCGCGGGAACAAAACGAGATGATGAATGCAGTAATATTGATGGCTATTCAGTATACAGGCTTTTGGTGATATCGGAAAAGAAGAGAGAAGGTTGTAAATGATGGCCTCGTAGAAATTGTGGTCTAAAATATGTGACCTCAGTCATGTTTGGTTGGCGCAGCGCGCAATTGCGCGTTTCACTTTTGGCACGAGTCCTACTATGAGCACGCAGGACTCAGGGGGTGACACAGAAGCAAAGACACACAATTGTGGCCAACATGGAATATCGCAGCTACGCGCAGATTGATCCATCGCGAGGGTGTCGCTCAGCCCAGGGTTATTATGAGGCGTGAGGCTGTCGCGACACAATTGCTGGGATCTCTTCTGCTGCTTGGTGCAGGGAGTTGAGATAGCGCTTGGAGTGCTGATGATGGCGCTGAGACAAGCATCAGTCGCCACACAGTGTCATCCGTCAGCGAGCAAGACCGAGACTCATCCTGACAGTATCGCATCGTGCAATTGACAGAGCATGCATCATGTCAGCGATGACAAGAGAATGGTCTTGTCATTGCAACTGGGAACAACTTGTTGCAACTCAACTCCACTCGCAGCGACATTTGGACCAGCTGCACCAAGCAGACAAGCAGATCCCAAAATCTGGGGAAAGCTCATATTCTTACCTAAAGGAAACAAAACGAAATAAAATCTGGACTCAATCGACTTTTATCCACTCCGGAACTCGGAACCGCAATTCTAGGCTGGCAATCATGATGGAAAAGGTTAATTCTGGATAAAACAGCTTCTTTGGTAAGTGTCACGAGGTGTAATAAGTACCAAAACAGAGATATTCCTCTCCATCATGATCTTGTTACGTACAGGACTCAACGGCACTCAACGGCACTCAATAACCGGCGGGACAAACAGGTTATAATTACCTGTTTTGTAATTAATTCAAGTTGGGAGGTCAACTTATCTTATCAACTGATAACTAACCCCAATCCAGTTTATCTTTCCGTGAGGCTCACGATTTACCCCGCGATATCGCCTCCCCACCACGAGAGCTAGCCTATAGAGGAGCTGTCACACATCAATCCCGATACGGAAAAAAGAGTCGTCTATTTCCAACTCGAGACGCTCTTATCATCATGTCCCCGAAAACTATATATCCCTCCCCTCCTCCCTCATACCATACAGTCTTCACCTAACCATTAATCCTCAACACAGTCAGTCATCATGGGTCTCACACAACATCATCCTTTTGATCCTCTCTCCGGAGATGAGATCACCGCTGCCGTTGACACTATCCGCAAGTATCAGTCCGGTCAACTCCTCTTCAATGCGGTCACTCTACATGAGCCCCGTAAGAAGGAGATGTTGAGATGGCTTGAGCATCCTTCTGACGGGAACAAGCCTGCGAGAATCGCGGATGTCACTGTCATTCTTCCTGATGGAGCGGTTTACGATGGTCTTGTGGATCTTAAGACGAGGAAGGTTCAGAAGTGGGAGAAGCTCGATGGTCTTCAGCCTATTGTAAGTCATCACCTCTCAACTGACTACACTGAGTAATGGCTGATGAAATAGATCACACCAGAGGAACTCTGCCAGGTCGAGGAGATTGCGCGCAAAGACCCAAAGGTCATAGAGCAGTGCGAAATCTCTGGCATCCCCAGGTCAGAGATGCACAAGGTCTACTGCGACCCCTGGACAATCGGCTACGACGAGCGCTTCGGCAGCAACATTCGTCTGCAGCAGGCACTCATGTACTACCGTCCTGACCCCGATACCTTCCAGTATCAGTACCCTCTTGACTTCTGCCCCATCTACGACGGCGCCAAGAAGGCCATTATCCACATTGACATCCCCAGCGTGCGCCGTCCATTGAGCAAGCAGAAGGCCATTGACTACACTCCTCGCTACATCAATGAGAACGGTGGTTACCGAAAGGATATCAAGCCCATCAACATCACGCAGCCAGAGGGTGTTTCGTTCACCATGAATGGACGCGTTTTGTCATGGCAGAACTTCAAGTTCCATATTGGTTTCAACTACAAGGAGGGTATTGTGCTGAACCACATCACCTTCACCGACAAGGGTATCGAGCGACCTATCTTCTACCGTCTCTCCCTCTCGGAGATGGTGGTCCCGTACGGTGCGCCCGAGCATCCTCATCAGCGAAAGCACGCTTTTGATCTGGGTGAATACGGCGCAGGATACATGGCCAACTCTCTCGCTCTGGGCTGCGACTGCAAGGGTGTGATCCACTACCTCGACGCCGAATTCGCCGCTCGCGACGGTTCTATCCGCACCATCAAGAACGCCATCTGTATTCACGAGGAGGATAACGGTATTCTCTTCAAGCATACTGACTTCCGCGATGATTCCGTCACCGTCACACGCGCGCGCAAACTCATCGTGCAGCAGATCTTCACAGCGGCGAACTACGAGTACGCATGCCAGTGGGTGTTCCACCAAGACGGCACAATCCAGCCTGAGATCAAACTCACCGGTATTCTCAACACATACGCCCTCAACGAGGGTGAAGATGCTGGACCGTGGGGCACAGAGGTTTATCCCCAGGTCAACGCTCACAACCATCAGCACTTGTTCTGTCTGCGCGTGAACCCCATGATCGACGGTGTGAACAACACTGTCAACATGGTCGATACTGTTGCTAGCGAGGCACCCGTCGGAAGTCCCCAGAACAAATACGGCAATGCGTTTTACGCCAAGAAGACAAAGTTGAGGACGAGTGGGCAGGCCAAGACGGATTACAATGGTGCGACGAGCAGGACGTGGGAGATGGTTAATGAGAATAAGCTGCATCCTTATTCCAAGAAGCCTGCGTCTTATAAGCTTGTTAGCAGAGAGGTTCCAGGTCTTTTGCCGAAGGAGGGATCGCTGGTCTGGAAGCGTGCTGGCTTCGCCCGCCACGCTGTTCACGTCACACCATGTAAGTCTTTTACCTCTCAGTATACAGTATGATACTAACAATGTACAGATCGTGATGATGAGCTCTGGGCAGCGGGTCGTCACGTCCCCCAAACATCCGGCGAGCCATCCCAAGGTCTTCCTGAGTGGATCGCCGAGGGCACAGCATCCACTGAAAACACCGACATTGTTCTCTGGCACACTTTCGGCGTGACACACATCCCTGCACCCGAGGACTTCCCCATCATGCCCGTCGAGCCAATGACGTTGTTGCTCCGACCTAGAAACTTCTTCACGAACAACCCTTGTATGGATGTGCCGCCTAGTTACTCTATTACGCCTACGCAGGTTGCGGAGAAGAAGGGGGCGCTGGATCAGAGTGATAAGGTTAGTCAGTTGGCTTTTGGGGGTAAGAGTTGTTGTTCGGGTGGTAATGCTGCTGCGAGATTGTAAGGGGGATTGAGTTTGTATAGTTAGTCATAGCGTTAAATTGCATAGAAGGATTATTTACAACCGAGTAATGATGATTGGTTGTGATGTTCTGGTGATGTGATGGTAAGCTCAAACCTTGGTCTGCAGAGTATAGTCTAGGAAGCAACTTATTCATCTGGGACATTTCATGTACCGTGGATACTTGAATTCATTTTAGCATGTACCAGTGAGAGGCGTGTCTATGCAATGGCCATTGAAGCGATATGCGCATGAAGCTCTCTTGATGATACGCATCAATTTAGACCACTTCAAAGACTGCAATATCTACGCTTGCTCACACGAAACAGACGCACAACAGGCAAGGTTAAGTATGAAGCTTCAATGTTGTTACAAGAAGTGAATAGTATACAGATACCACTATGCAGAAGGTCCACCAACAAAAATCGTCAAAGTCTCCGGTACACCCGAAACAACACCCGAAGCATTCTCATTCCCATCCGGGTTGACATCATCATACGGAAACGCGTATCCCTTGCCATCGACCTCATAAGAATGTACAATCCGACTATAGTGGTTCGTCGGATCATTCTTGTAGTACGCTTCCTGTCCCAACTTGGGCTGTGTATCGCCTCCGTCAACAAGGAGTGTACTTCGAACAAACGCAGCGCAGAGACGAGGGACGACTGCTGCATGTACCGCATTATCGCCTTCCATCACCGTGAAGGGACCGCTGTTGCAACCCCAGATGTCTTTGGTGTTGGGTTTGCCGTATCCTCTGTTATCGCCGTCGCAGGTCAGTTGATCCCCTGTGACGCGGCACTTGACGTTGCCTGCTTCAGACTGCGTGTTGATGATGAGGTCTTGAGAAGAGTATTTACTCCACACGTTATTGACGTAAGTGTCCCAGTAATCTCCAAAGGTAATCGGTTCAAGATCGTACTGATTGCCAGGCGAAAGCACACGGACTGGTTTACCCTGCGCATTCGCAATGCACATAAACGTCCACGCCCTCCCATCTTTATCTTTCTGCTTAACAAGATCATCGCAGATCTTACTGACAGCGCCAGACTCAAGTCCAGCACATGATTGAGTACTTCCATCTTTGAGAGAAAGACCCATGCCGAGAGGAATACCCACAAAGTCGACATAACTGATGTTGGCGTACAGAACGCCGTTCGTGTAGGTGAATTCCACAAAACCCCAGTCCACACCAGCACTAGGATCTTGAAGATTCGTAACAGAAGGCTGGACTAAACCATCACCAGTTCCAATGTCAACGACAAAAAAGTGAAGATCTTCATTGGCGAAATAAACACGGCCTGAACTCATGGAGATTGGAACAGTAAACTCAAGAGTCTGACCTTGTGCTGGGAGAGGAATAGCGATGTTATCTTTAATCTCAACAGGGACTTTCGAACCTCCTGATTTAGGATACACAAGATTTCCACTCGCGCCGATGAAGACGACAGTGCCGTCAGAGTCCAGCCCTGAGATGTACGCTCTGACGTTTCCGCCGCTGAAGTTGTTCACTAGCTTCAGAGGCAAGGTCGCTTGTTCAGCGCGGTGTGTTAGAACGCGAGTTTTGTTTCTGGCGTACGTGCCGTTTAGGAGATTGTTATCTGT